GATTATTTCGGCGCAGAAAGAGAGAAAAAGAGAGAGAGAGAGAGAGAGAGAGAGAGAGAGAGACAGAGAGAAGAAAGAGAGAAAGAGCGAGAGGGAGGAAGAGAGGGAAAGACAGAGAAAGCAAGAGAGAAAGAGAGACTCTTTCACGCGGAGAACATTCGCAGAGATCAGCCGTTCCTTCCATTCGTCTCTCGTCCCTCCCAGCACGCCCGGAGCATCTTGCGGCGAAATTGACGCGTTTAGAGTTTCTTTTTCTCTCGTTTCTTTTTTTCTTTTTTCTCCTCTCAACTGCTCTATCGGAGACGGCGATCGAGTCGAGCAATCACGCGGGACCCGACACGTCGTTTGATCGCCGTGACACGTGTTTTCTTCGGTAAGCCGTGCGCGCATCGACGGCGATTATTATTTATTACATCGTAAAGCGCGGGAGCGAGCGAGCGAGCGCGCTCGCGCGCGTGTCGTTGGGCACAGAACGGAACGACACGGAACAGAAAAGAACGGTTGCCGGAGAGATCGCGCACACGTCATATCGAACGTGTTGATCGCAGATCGGCAGAGAGAGGTGTAGGAGGAAGTGAGGGCGCACACACGTGTGTCTCTCTCTCTCTCTCTCTCTCTCCCTCGCGCGCGCGCGCGCGTCGATATAGCGTGTATCACGCGAAACCGCTTCCTACGCTCGCCGCTCGGCGCATTAACGCGTAATTGTATCTAAAGGTAAATACAGACGTCTCGCGATAAAATCGGTAAACGCCTCGCGTTACGCGTTACCATCGGCAGATGTGCCCGCCGGCGCGCGAGATAAGGCCGCATCGCGGCAAAGAGAAAGCTCGGGCTGAGGAAAGTAGAAATTAAAACCGTCACTGTGCGCCCGCTGTGGCACGGCTCGCGCAGCGCGCACACACTACGTGCAAACACAATCTCGCACGCTACACACACACACACACACACACACATCACGCGCGTCATGGCAGTTCCTCCGTCCATTCGGCGGAGCGGCACCGTGTAATTACGTCGGGCGAGAGCACGAGATCGCGATCCGGCTCGGCCAGGAAACGTATAATGGGAGTATAATGCGTGAAATTTACTGGCCGCATCGGCATAATGGACGACGTGACGCTCAAGATATCACCGTGATTCCATATTTCCCAGCGATGCGCGGCGCACGGCGCACGACGTACGTACGGCGCGGCGAAGCGTAGCGGCGATTCCGCGCTCGCGGTTGGGTCTCCTCTTGGATTTTAACACGAGCAATTATCGAGAGATGAGATGAAACGGGACGGGACGGGACGGGACGGGACGGAACCGGCTCGACCCCGCGGGTCCCCTTCCTCGTCCCGCCTTAGCGCGGCCCGGACGGAATATATCCATCGCATTACACGTTTATCGCGCGCGCGCGCAGATACACCGCGGTGGCCTGTAATTTCACCGAGTCGAATTTCAACGTTGCGTCGGGAGGACGGCGGTGGCGAGTATCGTCGGTACAACGTACACGCGCGCGAGTATTCGAATTCAATTAACCCCGGTGACGAGTAGTGAGTTACCGCCGCGCACTTATCAGGACGAAAATCGGAATTCTTCGGCCGCCAACGCGACGAGTCACGGCCGCTTCCGGAGGTTTTTCAAACAGGGGAAAAGGGAGTTCTATCTTATCGGAGGAACGTTTTCTGCAGTACGTGTCTCTTTCTCTTTCTTTTTCTCTCCCTCGCGCGCGCTCTCTCTCTCTCTCTCTCTCTCTCTCTCCCTCTCTCTCTCTCTCTTTTTCGTTCGCAGACAGGACGAGACGCTCGAATGTTGCCGAGCGTGCCGAGATTAGCATATCGCTAATTAAGCAGTATCGACGCCGTATACGCGTCTACGCGTCGGAGATGGGACGGAACGATGAAGGCGAAGACGACGAAAACGACGAAGAAGAAGAAGACGACGACGACGACGACGACGACGACGACGACGACGACGACTACGACGAGGAATTCCGCGAGCGCGCCGGCGTTTTTTCAGCTGTGCACATCCGGGCGCATTTGAACAGCGTGTCGGAGCAAACAGACCGATTAAAAGTATCAATATTTGTCGAATCGGGGGTCCTGCGCAAACGTGCGCCGTAGTTTACGGGAGGCTGCCAGGCGAGGTCCGGTCGGTCTCCAAACGCGCGTGTGTACAACACCACGGCCGTTTTCGTTGACGTTCGGCAACGTGTACCTAGCTAACTAACGTCAGCACTTTGCACCGTTCCCCGTCCTTTTCTCTCCTCCTCTCACTCTCTCTCTCTCTCTCTCTCTCTCTCTCTTTCTCTCCTCTGCCGGTAACTAATTACGGTCCTCGTTCTTACGCGCACTACCTCCAGAATCGCAATATTCATTCGCTCACGCGCGCGAGGCGTGCGTACATGCCCCGAAAATGTCACGGACGGAGGATTCTCTCCCCGGAGTCGGGCCGAATGGAAGAAAAAATAACGAGAAGAAAATCCGCGACAACTTCCGGCGTGCGAACGTGGCCTGTAAAAATGTCACGAGTATTTTGGTGCGCGCGCGCGCGTGTGCGTTTCTCGTCTCCGACGGTAGGCGCGTACGTACGTACGAAAGGTCCGACCTTTGTCGAGTCGACCATCCGAGCAAGCAACCAACCGAGCAACCCGCCGGCCCTGTCGTCGTTCCACGTGCTGCGATCTACTACCTAGGACACGTCGCCACATCCGGCGAAACGCCTGTTATTAGGGTTGGACCCGACGAGGCTTTCATTATGCCACCCCGGTGCGGTCGCTCCCTCCCTCCCTCCCTCCCTTTTCTCTCCTTCTCCGTCCCTCTCTCTCTCTCTCTCTCTCTCTCTCTCTCTCTCTCTCTCTCTCTCTGAGAGCGACGTGCGAAGCGACGACGCCCGGATTCCAGCGGCGCGTCTATAGGCTGCGAGTGCGGCGACCGGTACACGCGACGACAATACCTTTTTCTATGAGTCACACGTTCGAGTCGGCTTCGTAACCGGCTCGATTAGCGGACTCGCGAGAGAGCTGTTTGCCAGCGGCATTAAAGCCGGGCGCTCGTCGTTACGCGCTTCCCGGCCGTTCTCCGTAGACGTACGACGCGCGGAACAGAAGAAACGGCGGACGGGCGGCGGGGCTGGGGGAGAGTCGAGTCGTAGCGAAAAAAAGGCGTTAATAACCCGTGTAATGGTCGGGCTGACGTTACGTCGCGAGAAAGAACGCCACGGAACGGGGAACGTGACAGGACTGCGCAACAACGTCGCTGTCGTCGTCGTCGTCGTCGACGAGGCCGAGTTAGTCGAGTTGGACGATGAGTCGTGCGCGACGAGACGACCGAGTCGCTCGCTATTACATCTCCGACCGCTGCCATTAAATGCAGACGCCCGAGAGTCCGCGATGCGAGCGCACGGACAGCTCGTCGCTTGGTTCACGGATCAACGACTCCGACGTGCCGTAGCGAAACGCTTTTCGCACGGAGCCGCGGGACTAACGGCGCGGACGATGGCGAATGCGATTGTTCCGCGAGTACCTCCGAATTTCCGAGAGAGCGTAAGAGAGAAGCACATGTGTGTGTGTCTGCGTGTGATGGTGCCTCGATACGACACGCACACACACACAACATACATGTACACGAGAGCACGTAGAAAATCAATCCGCTGTATCGAAACCTTTTACTTATTTCCGCTAGAGTTGTACGTCGATCCCGAGCGAATACCTGCAACACCGCGTCGCACGTGCACAGCGAAGCACGTGGTCGCGATCCGCGGTCGGCCGCGGATCGGCGGCGGCGACGACGACGACGATCGCACGTTAATGAAATTTTAGCGAGCAACGAAACCCAATATTGCAGCACGAAGCGCAACGTCATCGTCGTCGTCGTCCGTCGTCGTCGTCGTCATTCCTGCCGTGCGAGGCCCTGCGTCGCAGACGATCGAAATCGTGTTATTCGCGCGCCCGCGACAGCCCGGTCGCGGCGAAACCCGAGAAGTCAGAGAGTGCGCACACCTCGAGAGCCGACGGCGGATCGTGTTACGAGGTGCAAATCGCTCGGTCGGAGTAACGGGAGCGCAATCGGCCGCGAGACGGTGCTCCGAAAAAAAATCAGACGCATCTCTTTTTCCGTCGTCTGGCCCTCGGCGTCGGACGGAGAAAGAAATAAAAACGCCGGAGGGAAGGAGATAGATAGATAGATAGATAGAAAGATAGAGAGAGAGAGAGAGAGAGAGAGAAGAGACCGGTCGGTCGCGCTAACGACGCGATGACTTTTTCCGCGAGAAACCAGAGAAGCGGATTAAAATACTGACGTCAGAAACGCGCGCGCAGTGCGCGATCAAGGACGAGGTTAACGGGGTTAAACAGCGATGTAAATTACGAACGTAAATCAGATCGTCGCGCGCGGTGCCAGCCGCGCCGGTCCGCGCGCCGGCGCGTCGCGACGTGGCGGTACATTAAGTATGCAACGTGCTGTAAAATAGAGCGGACGTGCGTAGCCGCGCTCTCGAAAAAGAACTCGCGATCGAAGCGGCCATTTCGTGAAACGAGCGCGAACGGAATCGTACCGTCGGCGCGGCGCAACGTGAGGTCGGCTTTATCACGAGCGCCCCGAGAAAAAGGCTCGTCGAGAACGGGCGTCTCTCTCTCTCTCTCTCTCTCTCTCTCTCTCTCTCCCTCCCTCCCTCCCTCCCTCCCTCCCTCCCTCTCTCTCTCTCTCTCTCTCTCTCTCTCTCTCTGTCTCTGTCAATTGAAAGAGCACGAGTCTCTCTTCACGAAACGATAAGATTCAGCTCCGGGAAATATGCGTATACCGTTATCGCGTCACTGTTCAGCGATGCGCGCGCTCCGCGGTCTGGTCTATTCGATCTGTAATTAGCGATTACAGGACTGCGGTCGCGCACAACTCCGCAGAGCCGAGTGTGCGCGCGCGTGTGTGTGTGTGTGCGTATCGCCGTCCGCTCTGCATTAACAAATAAACGCCGTCGTTGCTATTATCGTCGTTACTGATAATTGAAACACCATCGTTACTCACCGGATGCCTGGCAGCGGCGGCGGCCACGGCGGCTGCGTTGATTCCGGCGCTGGGATACATCCTTCCTCCGTGGCTTGCCGACTGGCACGTTCAGGAGAGAAGAAATCCAATATGTATACGTTGTTTGCCGCACGTGTGTGTGTGTGTATGTGTGTGTGTGGCTGTATGACGGAGTGTGTATTCACTGTATATTTATCGTTACACTCACTTTCTTTTCAATACGCGCGAGAACGCCTCATGTCACGCGACGGCAGCGGCGGCGACGGCGACGGCGACGGCGACGGCGACGGCGCGGCACGGCGCGGCGCGACGGCGGCACTCTGAGACAATACCGGCGGCGGCTTATTACGAGTACGCGTATATATTATACTACTCCTCAATAACCAACAACAGCAATATAAAACACAATAGCAACAACCGATAACAGAAGGACTCCGGAGAGAAGGGCCTGGTCAAGCCCCGGAGTTGATGCTGCCGTTCGGATTCTCGGCGTTCTCGGTGCGGGCGCGATCGCGTGGCCGCTACGAAGCCGATCGGCACTCACGGCGATGACGCGTCGTACGGCGATGTACGTCCCGGTGGAACGTAACGGTCGGAATGATCATCCACGCCAGATTTCCTCCTCGGCGACAATCCATCGGCGGTCTCCACTCCATTCGCCACTACCGCTTCATCGGGCGACGTTCACGGGCAACGAAACGTGTCACTTCTCTCTCGCTCTCTCTCTCTCTCTCACTCTCTCTCTCTCTCTCTCTCTTTCTGTGGCTCGTGGCTCGTGGCTCTAGAGTCGGGTCAGATAAGAGCGCTCGTTGCGTTCATCCGGAGAGTCAAAAGCGAGCGCTGCGCACCGTCGGCGAAGGTCGGCCCGAGGTGCAACGGTCTCGCCGTCGTGTCTCTTTGTGTTGGCGACGCCGCGGCGTGCCCTTTTTTCGGTCGGTAAGGCAGGAAAAACCGCCCCCGCCTCGCGTCGTGGACGTCGACGTCGTCGTGGTCGTGGTCGTGACGATGCCTCCTCTCCGGCCGGGAAAACGCCGGCCGAGATGTTCTCGCTAGCCTGAATGCGACTCGCGTATCCGGCCACGCTTAGTTACGGCCTGTTTACGCCGCAGCCGCTCCTCCTCCGTCGGCTCCTACTACTCCGTCGTCGTCTTCGTCGTCGTCGTCGTCGTCGTCGTCGTCGTCGAACGTCGACGACGTCGTCGCGGGCGCGTTTACACCGCGACACGTTGCAACACTGCCACACTATTGCACACTCTCCGTCGTTGTTTACTCGAGAGACGTGAGAACGGCGCGTGCGGCACACGGAGGTGAACGTTTGACTCCGGCAAGGACGCGCTCGCGAGCACGCGCGTGCGTTCGAAAACGCTATCTACCTCTTCTCTCCGCTCCGCTCTGCTCCTCACCACTCCGTCCTTCTGTCTGCCTCCCGTCGTCGTCGGCGAAACGACTACGAACAGACGGGCGATTGATGCGACGGCGACGACATGGGTCGATTTTGTCGATCGAGAGCGAGTGTGAGAGAGAGAGAGAGAGAGGAGAGAAAGAGAGATAGAGATAGAGAGAGAGAGAGAGAAAGAGTGAGAGTGAGAGAAGGTTAGGGTAGCAAGGGACAGGTAGAGAGAAGCACTCGATCCGACTCGACTCACAGAGACTCGACGTGACGAAAGCAGAGACGCGTTTCGAAACGCGAATTAAACGGCACAAGCGAACCTCTCCCAGCAACGGCCGCGGAGCGACTGATAGACGGATCGGGAGAGGGGGATGGCGTTCCCTCTCTCCTACGCTCACTCTTCCCGCCGCGCACCGAACCCGTCCCTCGGCGTCCCCTCTTCCTCACGATTGCCCCTCGTCGCGTCCCACTACTCTGCGCGAGTTTAAAGCCGCCAAGCATCCCCTCGAATGTCTCTCGTCTCCTCCGAGCTCGTATTAACCGGCGCGATAGCTCCTTCGCAATTAAGTCGCGTTACGTAAGGATCTCGAAAAGGCGAGCACGAAAATCACGGCTCGTTAAAACGTCGCTCTACGTGTCCTCCGTACCGAGACTCTCGCTCGCTCGCTCGCTCGCTCGCTCTCTCCCTTTCTCCCCCCTCCCTCTCTCTCTCTCTCTCTCTCTCTCTCTCTCTCTCTCTGCACCTCTCTTTCGCCGTACTCCCTCGCATTTTTACGTACGCTCGGATCCGCTTTATTGACCTTTTACCCAGCGAAGGACGTCCGTTGTGATTTTCGATCGTCTCGCCCGCGCGCACGCCTTTACGATCGCCTTTTAACGCGAGCTTCGGCTGCGATGAATGGTAATTCCGGCAGGACGAAGTTATATCGTCATTAAACAGCCCGACGTACCGATTTCGTCGTTTCGGTAGTCGACCGACCGACGTTTTCGCGCACGGCGGCACTTTAATTTTACGGCATCATTGCGAAACGTCTCGCTCCCGATTCGCTCTTTTCACGAGCATATGTGGGAAGGATGACGCGCGTCTTTCTCCTCTCTCTCTCTCTCTCTCTCTCTCTCTCTCTCTCTCTCTCTCTCTCTCTCCTCTCTCTCCGGCGCACGCAGTCGATCGCCAGGTTTATCGACGTTGATCACCGCTCCGGTTTTTTCCGTTGCATTATCGCCTCGATACACCAAACGGCGATGACGGGCGTCGCGACACCGCGTGCGAATCGTGTTTGCCAAGCGCGCGCTCTCGATCGTCTTTGGAATCTAGGCAATTTGGAATATCAATCTCTCGCGAGACAGGCAGTGTCGTCGATTAACTAAAGACTCACGGCACGTCGGATGCGTCATCGTCCGCGGCAACCAGTATTACTACACTACTACTATTACTACTACTACTACTACTACTACTACTACTACTACTACTACTACTACTACTACTACTACTGTTAATACAACTACCACTTCTCCGTCCGCGTTGCGACCGCGGTTGAAATTTTTGCGAGCTTCGAGCGGAGAGAGACTCCGGTGCCGAAAAGTTTTCGGTCGCCGACGGATACGTCGGAGAATAAACCAGGATGGACAGAGAGACGGTGGAGCAGGGTAGGTAGGAGGCAGAGCGGGAGGGAGGGAGGGAGGGAGGGAGAGAAGAGAAGAGACGCGAAGCCACCACCGCATGCCGAGCATACGCGTCGGTATTAGTCGTTCCTCCGGGTTCGCTACGGCGTGTGCAAACAAATCGAAAGTTTTTCGCAAAATGGCCGTCACCGGGCTGACACGGATGTCCGCGTAAACTCCCTCTCTCTCTCTCTCTCTCTCTCTCTCTCTCTCTCTCTCTCTCTCTCTCTCCCTCTCTTTCTCTCTCTCCTCTCTCCTCTCTCTACTCTCTTCCCTCGCTTTTCCCCCCGCCTCGTTTCCCCGCTTGTCGACCGGCTGCCTCTCTCGCCACTCGTGATTTCCCTCACTTCCCACACTACCACAAATATGGCGCCTCCACCCGTTTTCCCAACCCCTATACAACGTAGCTGCATAAAGCGACAGAGCGAGAGAGGGGGAGGATACGTACACATACGCACGCGCATGTACGCGATATAGCTGGAATAGGTATACTCGGTGTGTGTGTGTGTGTGTGTGTGTGCAAGTGTGGTATGCGCGCGCGCGCGCGCGCGTGTGTGTGTGTGTGTGTGTATGCGTGTACATATGTGTTCCTCTATGTGTGTACACACCTGTCCCGTGCGAGTGTATAGCGAGTACCATCCTGTACGCGCGATTGTGTGTGCTAAGGGGGTGCCCCTATGTGAATATCGCACGGCACACAGTCCCAAGCAGTTTCCTACTTGATTGCCGCTATCGTCCCGCTCGCCTCGTAAAGGCGCTGACTCCGCGCGGATCCCGCCGGAGTCCTACCTCGACCAATCGATGCCGCTCCGGCCGACACTTGGCCAATCGCGGCGCGCTCAGCGCGGCCGATCGACTCGGCGACGGCAAAGAGTCGAATGAAAACGCGACCTCGGCCAATGGCGCGGCCGAGTTTTTCAGATGACGCGCGTACGTACCGTCCGCGCGGATCGCTCGCTCGCTCGCTCGCCCCCGGAGCCCCAACGGAGAGAGAACGTACCTATACTGAATAAAGGTGCTACGCGAAGCCGCAGCGAAACATGAAAAATAGGGGGCCACACGAGGAAAAACACGGACCCGCGGGAGAGGCGAGGGGGGAGAGAAGGGAGGGAGGGAGGGACGGACGGACGGGGGCGAGCGAGGTGGAAGAGGAGAAAGAGCCAGAAGAGAGAGGAGATGGAGGTGCAGGAGGAGGAGGAGGAGGAGGAGGAGGAGGAAGGAGGAGAAGGAGGAGGAGGAGAAAGAGGAGGAGGGAGCTGTAGGATGGATCCTACGAACCGAGACACCGAAGGCAGTCTGGGTGCAGTCGGGGTTGCGTGGGATGGGTCGGGAAAGGAGGCCGGGACGACTAGAGTATAGAGGCCGAGGATGAGAATGGAAAAGTAACATAACGAAACGTCGATCCCATTACCTGGAGCTCTCTCGCCCCGCCGCTGCCGCGCACCGCGTCGCGTCGCGTCGCGCCGCGTCGCGTCGAGTCGAGCCGAGCCGAGCCGCGTCGTGCAACCATCCCTGCCTGCTTTCGACCCTTAATCCAAAGGAGGATTAGAAAAGCCCATTGTCATGCTTCGCGGAACGCGGGATGGGTAATACGCGTATGCGCGTCGTCTCGTTCCCCTGCGCCCTTGGCGCGTACCAGTGTGCGTGCCGAGGGGACAAAAGAGAAAGAGGGGAGGAAGAGAGAGAGAGAGAGAGAGAGAGAGAGAGAGAGAGAGAGAGAGAGAGAGAGAGGTTTCCCTAATGAAATGTAATAAGTACACGACGAAACTCGCGGTTCCGTTGATCGCGTCAAGAACCGCGTGCGCTTTTCGCGTAATTCGCTACGACGCGACGACGTCGTCGTCGTCGTCGTCGTCGTCGTCGTCGTCGTCAACATCATCGCCATCGTCATCGTCATCGTCATCATCTATTCTGCTCGTATACCGGCTCTTTATCTTGTTTTCACGGGGGCGAGAAGGAATATAAGGCAGTGCCGCGGAGTGTTGGCGAAGCTGTCGGTCGCGCTTGGTCGGCTGCGGTTTACGCGAAGCCGCCTCGCCTCGCCAACTTGCCTGCCTGCCTGCCTGCCTGCCTGCCTGCCTGCCTTGCCGCTTTGCGTGTTCCCTCGCCGATGGTGGATACCTCTACGTGTCCTCGGCGCGGTTCGGCGCAGCTCGGCTCCGGTGTACACCGAACGGTCAGGAGAATTGGAAGGAAGGAAACGCGAGGAGGAGAAGGAGGACGCTAGAGTGTATCCGCGAGAGCGACGGAGACGGAGGAGGCGCGAGCTGAGTGAGAGGGAGAGCGCCATATGCCGCGAAAAGCGCCGACGAGCGAGACGCCACGCGAGGCGGCCGCTGCACCGCGCACCGCACCGCACCGCTCCGCACCGCACCGCGCCGCGCCGGCAGGCGGCTCCGAACCGGTCGCTGCGGTTACCGCGGTTAACCGCGCCGGTGCTCTCAACCCGCGGCGACCGCGACGGTCACGCCGGCCGCTGCGCCGACTTCCTGCGCGATATCCCTCGAAACGGCTCGATAGATTCGCCAAATTATCCCTCCGGTCGGATTATACATCCATGCGAAAACGTCGGCACCGGATATAAGAAGCGGGATATTTATCTTTTTTCGTCTCTTTTTGCTCCTCTCACTCGTTTTTACATCGAGCCTCGCCCTCCCATCTGCTGATTCTCTCCGAGGGCCCTCGTTCGTCTCTCGACGGGAGAGATAATTCGCGCGTATCAAGGAACGTAACTATTCGCCGACTCGACCGCCGCTCTCGCTCTCGGCGAATGCTACTTTAATTAATCGTTATCGGCGGAGTGAGAGAGGACTGCCCGCGTGACCGGAGAAGTCGGTTTTACTCGTCCCTCCCGGAAGAGAGGAAGGGACGAGAGAGAAGCGACTCAAAGGAGGCCCACAAGGCGACTTATGCGCGAACGAGATCTCTTCTTGCCAGCGCGCGGAGATTTGCGAGAATGACGGAGCGCTCCGCGAGCACTCTCGTTAATATTTTTGCTCTCGGACCGGCGTGCACGCGCGCACTCGGGACAGATTGAAAATAACTAAATGCCGAATCACTGCTACTAACCGCACTCGCGCACACATACCTACGCGCGCGCACACATATACCCGCGCGCGCGCGCGCGCTGTAGCTTAGTGGAATGTGGAATTTTATTGTACAGACATTTTTCCATTATGCAAATACACCAAACAACTGCTCCGCCGTGATACGCGTCGGGGAATTAATTTTAATTATCGTCCCGACGAATAATTAACGAATCGTGTATATCCCGATACGCGCGAGAGCGAGAAAAAAAAAAGAAAGATCGACGTAAAGACCGATGAATGATGACTGCAGACCTAATTGATTGCCGAAATCATCGTTGTCAATGCGCGACGGTGAAACGTAACGAGCGGGAAGCGGATAAAACGATACGTTCCCGTTGCGATCGTTTCCTCGTGGCAGCGCGCAACAGACCGTAAAGTCGAGAAGCGACTCTCGGGGAGACTCGAGCCGCGCGTAATCCGCCCCTTCGTCATTCGTCGCGCGGAGTGTTCTAGCCCGATATTATCCCTAATCGAATTGTTAAGCAACCCTCGCGCGCGCACTCCATCAAGTGATGACTTGACTCGCGCGCGCGCGGGCAATCGACGAAGACGACGAGGAGAGAGAGAGAGAGAGAGAGAGAGAGAGAGAGAGCACAGCCCCTTTGATTAATATTTCGCCGATCGGCCGAGCTACTTCGCTCGAGTCGTCGCGGAAAAGACG